GGTGGCGGTGGGTGGGCGGGGGTTGAGAAACGGTGGGGGGGGGGGGGGGGTCCTACCTACCCAGCTTGGCTCAAATCTGCCTACTGCACAGGAGACTCTTCCAGGCGGGGACCTTTTGGATGTACTGGGACCTCTTGACCCAAATTAGACCAAGCAACAACTAAGGGCATGGGTGGGGGCGGGCTGGTCCAGGGTGTATAGCAAGGGGTGGGGGAATTAAATTACAAGCACATTTAAGCTGAGTGTCAAAACTGCTCCCTAGTTATTGGCTCAAATCTGCCTACTGCACAGGAGACTCTTCCAGGCGGGGACCTTTTGGATGTACTGGGACCTCTTGACCCAAATTAGACCAAGCAACAACTAAGGGCATGGGTGGGGGCGGGCTGGTCCAGGGTGTATAGCAAGGGGTGGGGGAATTAAATTACAAGCACATTTAAGCTGAGTGTCAAAACTGCTCCCTAGTTAGGAGATGAGCTTGGCTCAGAAGGTGGGGAAAGACCCAGGCTAGAGATACTGGGAACTACAGCGTATGCAGGGGAGCACAGCCCAGCCTCAGTGCTCCACAGCAGGGACCAGAGATGGGAATGAGGTAGCATCTACTCTTTTGGTCCAGGTTCAGCTGGGGATCGTGGCTTGGGAGACAATGGTCTGAGGGAGACAGGCTGGCTCGATGGGGGAATGACCTGTCTGGAGTCAGCCTTCTCCCCACGGCATGCTGCCTGCTGCAGCAAAGGGCTCAGCGGGGTGAGAGAGCTTGGCACGTTCCTCAACAGACACATGCCCTCACCCTCTCCTGCTCTGCTGCAGATTTGCTTCACGAGAAGCAGGCACCACTGGGGTTGGGCCTCAGCCCCCCTGCCATGAACTAGCCCAAGCCGTGACACTCATGGGTGCTGGCCCACCTTTCAGAGGGGGCAGGATCAGTGCACAGCATGAGTAAGCAGACCAGGCATAGGTGTGCACACCATCCCTCTGGCCCAAGGCTGCGGGTGAGCTGGGAGGCTCAGCCTGCCTTTTCTCTACGACTCATGTCTGCATTTTTTTATAAAGGGCAAAAGTCCCCCTCCTGTACCCTGGGTGTCATCAGCCCACCTAACTGCCTTCAGCCACTCTCTCCTACGACCCTGAAGTGCTGTCTTGTCCCCCCTCATGGGAGCACTGGTTTGCCCCCCTCGTGGGAGCGCTGGTGTGCCCCCCTCATGGGAGCGCTGGTGCCACCCTCGTGGGAGCGCTGGTTTGCCCCCCCCGTGGGAGCGCTGGTTTGCCCCCTCATGGGAGTGCTGGTTTGCCCCCCTCGTGGGAGCACTGGTTTGCCCCCCCCGTGGGAGCGCTGGTTTGCCCCCTCATGGGAGTGCTGGTTTGCCCCCCTCGTGGGAGCGCTGGTTTGCCCCCCCCGTGGGAGCGCTGGTTTGCCCCCTCATGGGAGTGCTGGTTTGCCCCCCTCGTGGGAGCACTGGTTTGCCCTGCTGAAGGGGGCTGGGGATTCTATTCATGAAACATTTTTCCTATCAAGATCTGCCAATTCATCAAAACCCAATTGTCTTGTGAGAACCTTTCTCTTCGTGGAGGTTCCCAAAGAAGGTTCTCGTAGGGCCTGAAGGGAGTTTCCAGTTGAGATTAGAAAGGACTCCCAACCAACCCATCCACTCTTGACTGCTAGTGGTTCTAGCACTGCCCTGGGAGGTAGGAGGCCCAGGCCCAAGCCCTTGTTCTCAAGGACTTGAACTGAATCTCCCATGTCCTTGGCAAGTGCTCCAACCACCTGGTGTGGGCGTGCATGAAATCATGTCCCTGATTTCACATAGGTTAAAAACCACCCCTGTCCGGCAGGGCATAGCTAGGGAGTGCAGCACCCTCCAGCAAGTCCCTCCACACCTCAGCATCTCCTTGGCCCACCTGTAAGGGAGGGGACACCCGCTGCTGTGAAGTGCTGCAGGACCCTCAAGTGTCACAAGTGATGTGCTCTGGAACAAGATGGCCTTTGGGGCCTGAGGGGTTGGCTTGTGTGCAAAGCCATGGTCAGCACTTCAGGGAACATCCTGAAGCAGGGCTGTTTCCCCTGTCAAACTGCAGGAGAAACTGAGAGAAGCCGCCTGTGCCAGGGATCCCTGGGTCTCCGTGTCCCCAGTCATCAGGCAGTACAGTCAACAAGCAAGCAAGGAGGAAGGGGCAATTACCTAACGTGATCATTTCATACAGCAGAATCCCAAACGACCACCTGGGGAGTAAAGAGGTTTGAAGAGCATCAGAACAGCTGTAAAAGACAGAGTCCTCCCAGCACTTCTCCTCCCTACCCTTCACTTGTGTGTCCAGCCCCCCCTGCTCCCATGAGCCCCCACACCCTAGCCGTGCTCCTGAGGCTCACCAGATGCCTGCCTTGGTCCCTTTCAAAAGGCCTACCCCTGGGGAGACTCCAGCTGCCTCCTGGAGGGGCAAAATGCAACCTCTGTGCACTGACAGCTGTGGTGTCACTGAGTGTGATCGAGAGCTGGCTGAATACTGGGGATGCGGATTGTCCTGCAAATTGAGCAACTTCTCTCTGCTTAACCAAATCTAAGTGCTTTGCTCTGTATGGCTTTATAACATGGCATAACTTGGTTCAATACGTTTCCAATACAGACCGCATTCAGCCCACTGGGAGAAAGGCAATGTAGCACAGGGTGATCAACCTGACTGGGACTTAGAACATGGGGGCTCCAGTCCCAGCCCTCTATCTGATCTTGCCTAATTTATTTTCTCTGTTTAGACCACAAGGTCTGAGGACGGTCTCTAAGTAAGTGCATGAACAGCACCTGCACAACAAGATCCTGATCTCAGCTGGGGCCTCTGGGTGCCACTTGTAACACAGTGACGGGGCCACCAGTTTCAAAGTCCCCTGGTCTGTTGCAATGTGCCCCATGGTTCTGACTAAGGGGTCAATTCCCTGAGAACCAGAGTGCTTGGCACTGCCAGTCTTTGCTGAACTTTGTGCTTGGTGAATATGATTCAGGTATCTCTGGAGATCTCTGCTGTCTGACTTTGCAAACGGGTCACAGATCACGCTGTATCTTTGGCTCCTCACCCTGGGCTGGGCTGGGCTGGGTAGCACACCTGATTCTGATCCAGGTGAGGGTGGCTCCAACTGCACTGTCTTGGGCTACTCCCTAGTGCATGAATACTTCCTGCTTTAGAGTTTCACCAAGAAAGCCCCTGATGCTCCATCCATTGGACTGGCTGAAGTGCCCTTCAATCAGAGTGGCTGTGGTCCCTGTGCATCCCATGGTAGCCCCTTCATCTTTGCCCATCTCTCTGCAACAGCCAAGATCCCGGGACAACCCACTCCAACAGTGAATTACAGGGAGGGTGATGGGTTCAAGCAGAGCTACAGGCTCACTTCAGCCCTCTACCCTCTGCCAAGGTTTTACCATCACCCGTGACACACCAGCCCTTTGGGGACTCTGCACTGCCACTGCTAGCAATGGTGCTAGTGCAGGCAGAGAACACAGCCATTACTGCCATGCTGCTTGAGCCATGCAGGGTACAAATCCCATGCACATAGAGTTTCAGGAGAGGAAAGCCCCCCCCACAAAAAGTCCAGCTTAGCTGAGGCCATGGCACTGTGGGTAGAAAGAGAGGGAGTCAATGAGCAGGTGCATTTATGCAGTACTGTCCCCTGTATCTTCTCTCTGTGGTGGTGTGTGTACACTGAAAAGAAGTCACCGTGGGGCCGGGCTTTGCTTCCCTCAGCCGAGAACTCACACATCACTCCTTGCTGTGATGGGCTGGTTCAGGATCCTTTCTGGTGGTAGCCACTTTATAGGCACCTCTGCTGCACTCCTGAGTGGCAACGTGCCCCTGCAGTAGACCTTGGCGGCCAGCCCCAGGCCGCAGAGCCGAACAGTCAGATCCTGGTGGATTAGGATGTTGCAAGCTGCCACATTGCCATGGATCAGCCTTTGGCTCACTGTCAAGTACTCCTGAAAAAAGAGAATCCACGTGGATGCTTGTGAAAGAGGTCTTGGAGCAACCTGCAGCCAGCAACCCAGCTACTGGCAGCCATTGGGCGGGCTGCTGCATCCATGCCATCCCATATAGGCCTTTGGGCTCTGATTTCAAATACTCCAAGTGGGTACAACCCTGCACTGCCAACAACATCCCCAGGTCAACCCAGCCCCCTCTGGCAGCATTGTTTAGCTGAGCTCTGCCTCAGCCTTGTAGGGATCAACCGTCTGTTCTGTCCCAGGAGGACTCCGTCTGTAACATGCAGGTCCACGTGCTGCACCAGCTGGGCACTGAGCTCAGGGACCTCTTGCAGGATCATCTCACTAATCTAGCAGCTCGGGGGGGGGGCCATCGGTGTGGTGTTGCCAGGGAAATCATCCAGGGATCATCTTTAAAGGCTATTAATAGTTCAACTTGTTAAACAAGCTAGTGCATTGGATCCATCCTCCATCTACATACCAGCCCACGTGCTATCTGGATGGCCATAGCATAGACCCTCTTCTCCGTCAGGTGATAAGTACGCTCAGCAATGGACAAGTCCCCCTGACAAGGCAAAGGGAAGAGACAGCTCAGTAAGGCAGCAGCTCCCGCCTGTCCCCGAAACACAACTGTTCCAGCATGGAATTCCCAGCGCTGTGAGAGATCCTGCAAACAAGACCGGCAAACCTAGTGCGCGGGATCAGAGACAGCTGAGCTGAGCACAACAGGGAGCCACCTCACCCCCCTCCGCAGCCCAAAGCCAGCGTGGCTCCAGCAGCTCACACCCCTCCGCAGCCCAAAGCCAGCGTGGCTCCAGCCATGGCCATGACATGTAAGCACTGACCCACCACAGCAGCCCAGGACATGACAGAGACCTGCTGCTTTGGGAGTCAGCCACATTTTCAAAACCAACACATTTCTTGTGGGAAAGTGCCACGGTTGCCTCCTTGACAACAGGAATGTCACATGAAGCAGATTGTGTTTCATTTCCAGTTGAAATTCCCACCTGCTCTCATTTTTCAGGAACTTTCTGGAGCACCACATGCCTCCCCAGCAAGACAGCAGCTTCCCGTCAGGATTCATAAGCAAGAGTACGCGATTAAAGTCATTAGCCCCTGGACTGTAATGCAGAGATCTGCAGCAAAGTTTTGGCAACCCTGAGATGTTTTCAATCTGCTGTCGGCAGTGAAGAAAAATGGTGAACATTTATCTAGCAGAAGTTGTTCACTGCTCTTCACTCGCTCAGTTCAAATTTCCCTCCTGTGTTCTGCAGCATTCAGGGCACTGTCTGGGTTTGAAGCCAGGAGCCCTCATGGATCCTCTTGCTCTGCTCTCTGAACTGTGGTAGGTGAGATTTAATTTCATAGATTTCATAGATTTCATAGACATCAGGGCTGGAAGGGACCTCGGAAGATCACCGAGTCCAGCCCCCCGCCCAAAGGGCAGGAAGTCAGCTGGGGTCATAGGATCCCAGCAAGATAAGCATCCAGTTTCATCTTGAAGGTGTACAATGAAGCTGCTTGAACCACCCCCGGCGGCAGGCTGTTCCAGACCTTGGGGGCTCGGACAGTAAAGAAGTTCTTCCTTATGTCCAGCCTGAAACGGTCTTGAAGTAGTTTGTGACCATTCGACCTCGTCATCCCTTGGGGCGCTCTGGTGAACAAACGTTCCCCCAGATGCTGGTGGTCACCCCTGATAAACTTGTAGGTGGCCACCAGATCACCCCTGAGCCTGCGCTTTTCCAGGCTAAAGAGCCCCAGGGCTCTCAGCCGGCCCTCGTAGGGTCTGCTTCCCTGACCTCTGATCATGCGCGTGGCTCTTCTCTGCACTCTCTCAAGCTTCTCCACATCCTTTTTGAGTTGTGGAGCCCAAAACTGGACGCAGTACTCCCGCTGCGGCCTCGCTAGGGCCGAGTACAAGGGGAGAATGACGTCCCGGGATTTGCTTGAGAAGCATCTATGGATGCAAGCCAGCGTTTTGGTCGCTTTACTAGCCGCCGCATCGCACTGCAGGCTCATGTTCATCTTGTGGTCAATGATGACCCCCCATGGTAATTATCTCTCATGGATTCCCGCTAGCTATGATACCTTAATCCCTGGGCACCAATCGCCACATTCAGACTAGCTGGGTCTAATCTTTAAACCCTTGCCAATGAATTCCAATCCCACATCAATGCAACCATATATGTGACTACAGGGGCAAAATAATATTTAATTCCCCCTATACAATTTATTGACACAAAACCAACTTGTTCCTTTTCATCCTGCATTACTGGCCAGGGAACCAAGTTCTGGTTAAGTCTGTGTTTTACCAGAGCTGTCAGCTAAGATTCCAGCATCTTTCTTACTGACAGGGATGCTGAGGCTGAAGGAAAGAGGCATCTAGAAACTATGGTGATGGATGTGGAATAAGAACCAAAACAGCAAAAAAGAGACTGTAAGTCCCAGGTGGCATCTGCCATGCTGACAGCTAGCACAAGTCACGAGTTAAGTTGTACAGGATCAAGTTCCATCTACAGAATAAATATAAGACTTCTCACCATCATTTTACAGGGTGCTTCCAGAGTGCGGTTGTTATCTAATAGAGAGAGGAAATGTTGCATTGGTTTGTTCTTTGTTGCAAACCTATGTGGCAGGCATGGGGCCCAGCGTATCATGAGATTAAGCAGTGTCTTAAGTTTGGGGCTGTTTCTTTGCCTTCTGGTTTCTTGGTTTTCCCAGTGCATGTGGGTCATGCTCAGGTCTCTCTTTGCTTCTAGTGCTTTTTACACAAGCAAAGCTGAGCCGAGCACTACCTCCCACAGAAGTGCACCAGAATAGTGTATTTACTTGCGGAATACCGTATTTACTTGAACAGCACACACATCTTTTTCCTACTGCATCACAAGAGCTTGCGCTGGAATGGCCACCAGCGGCACTTCTCCAGGCAGAACAAGAGGTGCTAATGCACAGAGAAGCAGAGGGGGAGGCAGGCAGCGCATGTGGTGGTGCTTCCTCCACCCCAGTTTGCCCACATTCAAACCAGACAGCACCTCCTACCTGGCGGGCTTTCCATAGGAAAGGCAGTAAGTTTCCTAGGCTCATGGCCTCCAGCACAAAGCAGAGGGGCAGAGCTTGGCTCTGACACCACAGCACCTTCACCAGGCTGTCGTGGTTACAGATCTGGATATGAAACTTCATCACGTCTAGGAAATCTCTCACTTCTTTGGGGCTGGCAGTGGCTGAGGGTAAAGAAGGAGAAGCAAGGTTAGCGCATGGCATGGGCAGCGAGAGGGGAGAGCCAGGACAGCTTATAGCCTCAGCACTTGTAAGGGAGCAGAACTGGGCCCTGGACAACAAAGCAAAATTCGACAGCCCCACTGAGATGATGGGCCCCTAGGGAGGGGCAAATGCACAAACATGGGAAGGGAGTCATTGGTGAGGCAGCAGGATTGATGACAAGGATCACAAGGGCTCTGGGTGGGTCACAGGCTTAACACAGGTCACCAATATGATGCAGTCACCAAAGGAAATGGAGCGGTCCATAAAGCTCCAAAGTCGGCACACAGAAGGACTGATTTCAACCGCCCTTGTAGTGGTGGGACACTGACAGCCCTCTGCCCCCGTGCTGGGCCCTGGGCAACAAAGCAAAATTACCTGTACTTTACCCATGGTAGGTTAGGCTGTTCTTGGTGGGTTTGGGCAATGGAAGTAGTTGTGCAACAGCGTTGGTTGTGTAGTTTAGGAACAATTAGACAAGCCTCCTGATGGGATGGTTTGGATAGGGATGCTCCTAATGAACTTGGGTGGGTGGGGATGAGTCTAGAAAGGGCAAGTGCCTCTCTCCGTCAGGCATACCTGGCAGTTTCCTCAGGATCACAGCCTGGACAGTCTCTGAAGAGCCTCTTTGAATGATGGTGGCCTGGGAAATCTGCCCATAGCGCCCAGCGCACAAGAACTGCTCCTGCTGGATGTGCCTGTCCTGAGGCAGCTCCCACGCCACTAAGAGCGGGTCCTTTCGTTGCAGAATTTTCTCTGCTGCAGGCAAGGCGTCATACTCATCCTGCTCATCTGCCAAGGAAGAGTCAACCGACTGGCTGTCAATACACACTGCAGAGATAACAAGGGATCCCTCTGCCTTGGGGTCTGGAGGTGACTACAAGGGACTCACAGTCAGGACTCCTGGGTTGTCTTCTCACGGGACCGTCTATGTAACCTTGGACCTGGCACTGCTCTAAGGCAGAGCGGGACTGGAAGGATGGTTCAGTGATATTCCCCAGGTCACACAGGAAATCTGGGATGGAGCAGGGAACTTGAACCCAGGCCTGCAAAGGCCTTAGCTAGTGCCCTAACCACTAGCCTGGACAGTCCTTCTGGGTGTGTCCCTCTTCATAAGGGGAGGGTGATGTGGACCAGCTCATCCAGGAGACTGAGTTCTGCAGTATCTGCAAGGCATTTGGGGACCCCCTCGTGGGAGGTGCTGTGGGGACACAAAGGGCCCTGAGGAGTGAAAGGCGCTGCTATTGACCTGCAAGTGCCAGGCCCAGCAATTCTTTGGCAGTGAAGTGGCAGTTCTGGGGTTAGCGCCTGCTGGAGTACAACAGCCTCGCCTTGCCTGCTTGCCTTGCGCTCCTAGCTGGGTAAGTCCTGCTTCCAGTGATAACTGCAACAGCAGCAAGCAGCACAGACTCTGTTTTCTATACCAGAGATGTAGAGGTCAAAGGTCTCTGGGCTTTGCCTCAGTTCTCTGCCTCCTTCATCTTCCTCCCTTCCCCCATCTCTTCTCTTTAAGTCTGCGGCTTCATGCGAAGAAGGGCTTTGTTCTCTGTTAATGCTGTTCCTGCAGCACATGATATGTACTGACGCTCCAACCCATGGCTGGAGGGAGGCAGGGATGTGCTCAGGTGCCAGGCTCTGCAGATCGCCACATCCTCTCACATCAGTACGCTATTGCACATGGCAGAGCTAATGTTGGAGGCTGATTTCTGTCTACAAGGGGATTCAATGAGTGGCCATACCAGGAGCTGCACAGGCCTAGCTGGGGGTGTGGGTTCACTGCAGACCAGATGCTAATTCTTAGCCAAATTGCTGTTTGATTCCAGGATGCATCCCTAGAGGCCTCCGGGGGTCAGTGACTGATGCACCTACCTTGAGCAGAGGGGCCCAGTGGGTTGGCAAGCCCAAGGCCCTGCTGCTGTGGCCCCTCACTGACGAAGGCAACAAACGGGGGAAGGCCCTTTGGTGGAGCAAGACCATACGTCCTTACCTTCCAGAAGAATGATGGGTTCAACCTCCGTGTCCTTCTTCCTCCAGCAAATCCTCCAGAGGATCATCCCCACCACCAGTAACGTGGAGAAGGCGAGCAGGGAGGGGATAATGATTACTGCCTTCTGCATCCCGTTTTCATCTGCAACAAAAGACCCAGGGATGACGCTAGAGACACGCAGCTGCTTGGTGCTGGCTGGGAGTCCCTGGCAGTTCGTGGTTGGAGACCACTGCCCTACACTGTGGCAGCACAGCTGTGGCAGAGACAGTGCTCCACCAGCACGTGTTGCATTTCAGGAGCGGGTGGAACAATTCCTGCATGTACATCACAGTGCAGAGCGTCAAATCCTGCAAGGAGCTGTACTGGAGTTCCTACACTGGCTCCTGTGATGAAGAAAGGCAGGCTCGTTCAAGGTGGACAGGAGGACTAAGCACTCTAGACTGAAGAAGAGCTGCGTATAATTGGGAAGGCAGTTTCTACCCTGCAAATAGCAGGGCAGGGTATTTTTGTTTCCTTACAAGGTGTAGGAGAGGACTGGGAGGAGCAGAGTTGGTCTAGAAGCTTTTTCTCCCCCAGTTCTCTTTAGGTCAGAAATTCAGCAGTCCTTACCAATGTTTATATCACAGTGGTGCCCAGCAGATCAACCCCAGTGGAGATTAGGTGTGCAACATGCTGTACATACATGACATAAGAGCTCAGAAACTAGATAAGGCAAAAGGGAAACTGAGGCACCAGGGAGGGGAAGCAACTTGCCCAAGACCAGGCAACAGACACAGGACTACATCTCCTGAGTCCCTTCTAGTGCCCCATCCACTGAGCCACATTGCCCTTGAAATGCTATGACTAACACGAGGCATGAAGACTAGTTAAACAACAACCACAGCCCTTCAAGGGAGCAGTCAGATTGAGGGGCCCACTGAGGTCCCATCCCAAAGCTAGGAGGCCCAGCTGGGATATCCCTGAGGAGGCAAAGAGCCAGCAGAGTGGTTGTCTGTCAAACAGACTTCCCTGGCTGGCTTTAAGGATAACAACTCAAGGCAAACCCCTGTCCTGCCCCCCTCAGTCTTTTCACCTTGCAAAGCATCAGGAAAGCAGCACACTCAGCTGGCTCAGAGCAGCTCCCTCTCTCAGCACAGGAGACACCTTCCCAAGCACAGAGCGATCCATCTGCCTAATGGATATTGCTGCTACCTGATGTTACATATCATCCAGCACGTTAACATAGCATCTTAATGGGCATACAACAGGAACTGCCTGTATCTGAGCAATTAGCAAGCAGACAGGCAGGGGGAATGCTCTTATCTGTCGGCAGGTTCAGTCTGCAGGGCTGATGCCTCATTACATTTTGGAAAGACCGTTCCTGCCAGGATTAATGGTCTCGAGGCATCAGAACTGTCAGGGGCATTTGTGTTTTACAGTGATTAGCTGCCTAATTGCCTCCCTCTGCAGGTGGGAACTTTTGTATGATACAGAAATGGGTCAAATTCTATTCGGGTGCACTGGAAAGAGGGAGCTGCAGAATGAGTGTGTCAGGCAAGTTCTCAGCAGCTTCAGGCTTCTCGACTGGCTGTGCAAGAGCTTTCTACGCAAAAGACGGCCAACTCCCATGGCCCCAAGCTCTGCCTGGGCCTGAGCCTGAGCCTGAGCCTGAGCCTGAGCCTGCCAGCCAGGCCTCCTCCTGCATTCCTGGGTTCCCAGATGCACTTGGGTTCCATAGAGCAGCCCAGGCCCTGTCCCCGCGCGGGGTGGGTCTGGTGGCTGGACTGTCCAGAAGGCTCCGTCCTCACAGGCTGGACATCCCAGGTGCTTTGATGCTGAATGTTTTGGGGAACCTGGTCCCAAATAGCAGTTCTGAGTGCAGCAGGCCAGAGAGCTCGACCCACAGCTCGTATCACATGTCATGACCCCAGCAGCTCCTTTCTTGCCTGCTCCCCACTCAGCACCTGGGGCTGCTGCTGCCCAGCAGCCCTGCCCTCGCTGGGTGGCTGACTGCATGAGCTCCCCTATTGCCGCTGCTCACAGAGGGAAACCTGAAGTTCTGACTCAGATGGAGCCAGGAGGCTCAGTCCCTTCCAAACATAATGACTGAAAACCTCCTGGCTCAGTGCTTGAGGATGGCTGCGCTTGGGGCCATGGTGAAGTCTTGGCTGACTGAAGTCAATGGGGCGACTGCTGCTCCACCCTGCCTGCTGGCTCCCAGCATGGCGGACACGGACACGCACAGCGCCCCGCCTCCAGGCCACGCGAGGGCTGCTCTGCCTGGTGCTCTGCAGCTAATGCAGCCTGTGTGCTGCGAGCTTCCCCTTTAACTCTTTGTGTTCTGTGGTGTGCCAGAGAAAGCACCTTGGGAAAGGGATGCCTGGGCTGTCCCAGGGGGACAGTGTGTTATTGCAGGGCAGGGAATGGGCTTTTTAACCACCTAGTAAATCATTATTCTGACCTTTGCATATTATCTTTGAAAATACTGGGGGCAAAGATAGCATGGGACAAAAACAGGGCTGGGTCAGGACAGGGGCAGCTATGATGTGGGTGTGCCTCCTTTCTAGACACAGCAAGTGTTTGCTTTCAAGGTGTGGCATCGCTCTAAAGCAGCAGGCCCCAGCCTCACTGGTCCTGGCAGGAGGACCAAGCAAGTAACATGCCACAAGAAGTGCAGACTTTGCTCCCCTTGCCACCCCTGGTATTAACGGTTCAGTTTCCCACAGCTACAAGCAGTGTTGCGGCTTGTGCTGGGGCCATGGGTTGGGAATGGGAACCACTAGCTTAAGGACAGTGCAGTGTGACATCAGCCCTAGCCCCATCTCAGCACAGCTTTCTGCTGAGGACTTCCCCTTTCCCCTGCTCATGTAATGGGCATCACCCAGCAGGGCAGCAGCTCTGAAAACTTAGGACAGCGCGGTCGAGTGAATGGAGCTGAGCTGGGGTACGGGCGTTCTGGCCCTGAACTCAGCTCTAGCGACCCTGGGCAAGCCCCTTCCCCTCCGCATGCCTCACTTCCCTCCTGCATAGTGCAGAGATACAGACCTGCTCCATAAAGCACCTTGAGGGGAGACGTGCTGCAGAAGAGCAAGGAGGGGAGGGGGAACCTTCTTTCTAAATAGCTCCTAGTGCTCAAGTCTGGCAACAGACCCTGCCCTCCTGCTCCCCAGCCGGCCCCCAGCCTTTGTGCAGGAGCTGGTCAAACCACTGGAACAAAACTCCCTTTTGTCACAAACTGCCCTCGTCCCCTCACTGGACTTGTTGGGTTCTCCACATGTCTTGAAATGTTCCCTCTTATTTTTCTTAGTTGCCCTGAAAAGGGCAGGCTGTTATTTCTTCCCTTTTCAGTGGCAAAAATGGACTGGGCAAAGGGAAGAGGAAATCCAAAAAGCCTTTTTTTTCACCTGCAACATTTTCTTTAAAATAGTTTTAAAACATTTTAATAAAATCTTCTGGGTCATGGGATTTCACCCACTCCCAACTCCTTGCCCTCAGGCCCTGCCTGTCCTCTCTCTGCTCTCCCACAGCCCCCTGGTTTGTTTGCCCTGGTTTCACACATCCAGTCTCTCCTGGGATTCCCTATTCTCCCATCTGCCAGAATCCCTGCCCCACTGCCTTTCCCCAGGCCTCCCTCACCTCTAGCTCAGAACAGCACGGGAAGGAGCCGGGCCTGGAGTGGGCAGAGATTATGGCAATAAACACTTCACAAGTAACTGGTACAAGTGTCCCTCCATTCTGCAGGCGTGCTGAGCCCAAAGAGAAAGAAAGGAGGTCTTGCTCTGCAGGGACTTCAGGACAAGGTTTTTAATACCCTCATTTTAAAATGATTTTTCTTGTTGCCTCTCCCTGCCCCCATATTTTCCTAGATAAGCTCCCCCTGGATGGAGGGGTGGCAGGATAACTGCTTCTTTGGGGCCGGCTACAAGTGGAATTTTACTGACCGGTTCTAACGGGACTCGAGCCCCAACATGAACTCGGGAGCGGCTGCTATTGCCGGAGAATGCATAGAAGCGTGAGGCAGGACCGTGCAGCGAGAGCACCCCAACCAGCCCACACGAGAGGTGTCGCATGGCACTTACCACAGAGATAATTTCCACTGGAGAAGTTGCAGGACGGGGGCTGGCTGCCCATCAGAGACTGTCCCTGTTGGCCTGGGTTTGGCTGCAGATCTGTTGCTCAGGCTGAACCCACTTCCCGGGGTCCTAGTGAGATCCGCACGTGTGCCACAGCAAGGGGAGCTGTGCGCCCTGCAACACGGTGCTAGAATCAATCGGCTGACAAACCTCCTTCGCTCCAGCTTCCCAGACAGCCTGGGTTCCCCTACTGCATCCCAACCACTGCTGCCTGCCTGGCAGTGCCCTGGGGCATAACAGGTGCCTCGGCAGGCTGGTGCTGTCTGATGTGTTGGGCAAAGGTTTCACCACGGCTGGTTTATAATCGTGCACCTGACTCTGGAGGAGCAGCTCCAAGTTCAAGGATCCCAGGTGGAATTTAATTCTTTTTTCCTTCAGCAGCTGATAGGGCCCAATTCAGCCCCTGCACAAACCAACAGACAGATTCTCAGTGCCACCCATGACTGCAGGATTGGGCTGAATAACTTATTTCTCTTCAGAAAATAAGACCATTGTAAAGAAAATGGGGACCTTGCTGCCAGATTAGCTTGCAACAAACTTGGGGACCTGTCAGAAACAAAACCGCTAACTGTAGATGAGGGCTTCATGAAAGCACCTTAAGTGTCCGATTATAGCCACTGGTCACCCACAGTGCACAGAGGGGAGGCAGGGTAACAGCCCACAGCACTCTGGCAAGCTAATCTAGGTTGGGACCTGGACTAGATAATGACCCCCAGAGCCTCTTCAGCTTGGCTTAAAGCAGACTGAATGGTGGAGTCCCAGTGTGGAGAGTCGTTGTCCTCTTGCTCACCCCTTCCACCCCTTTTGGCCCCTGCCCATGGGTTCTGTCTCTTCAGGATTTGCTCAGCCCATGGCGCAGAGTGTGGCCTGGATGGGGCTGCACGAACTATTGTAACACACTAGATACCCGGTGCATAAAACCCCTGTTGTCCATTTTCACCTAGTCTCATCTGGAAGACACTTTTGTCCCCACCTTATACTTACAGCACCAGAGCTGTCCTTGATGTCACTTCACTGACTTACACAGAGGTGCTGGGGTGTGAGTTTGGGTCTGTGACCCTTTTTGGGGGGACTGAATCAGCAAGAAACAAGCAAACAAACAAAATTCCCAAACGCGCCGAGTGAATAATTTCCCACACAGGCAATCGCCAGGTTTCCAAAGTACTTTGTCCATCTCCTTCCCCTGGCTGGGTGGTACAAAAATAACCCACAGTGCACAAACTTACCAGCTTGTTCTGCATAAATTTCCCATCCAGCTCAGTTTCTCTCCACAGTGCTGCACCAAAGACTTTCTGCTCCGCGCCCTGAGGCAGGATCTACTGCTGAAACCTCCGTAGGTGTTTTCTTCTTTCGCACTTACTCTGACTCAGGTATCACTGGGATTTCTTGTGGCCAGACTGAATCTGACTCACAGGTCTTGACTGCAAAGGGGAATATTATTAGTAGGATTTATTTGTACACTGATAGTGCCTGGAAGCCTGAGGCATGGAGTAGGACTTGCTTTGTACACACAGAACAGAAAGACATTGCCTGGTGGAAAGTGCCCACAAAAGTCCACCCATTCTTTTTCCAGAGACACTGCCAAAGCCTTCTGTGTACCTGAATCACTAAAAACAAGCTCAAATTGAGAATACCAAGTTCCCTTCAGAGCTGGGGCAGAGGCTGGTTTGCACCAAACTGATCCAAAAATGACTTTGATAGTAAATACCTACCAGTGAAACCATTCTTCTTAAGCATGCACTGAGATGTCTGACCTCAGATGGACTCGCAATGTGAAAAAAAGCATTGGGTGACTCTGGGGAACTGGTAAGCTAACATCACAATTTCCAGACATAACAACATCTATTTTATTCGACTCTATTCTAAAAAGAAAATGTCTTCAACAAGGACCTTAAGTATACCATGGGATTCGATGATTCATCTCAAACAAGGTTAGGTTGCAATCTGAAATAAAGTGATGTTGGTTTTATTGATAAAAATGTTACTGAATATATATCTCGGACGAGTTTGAAGACATTACTCGGATCCAGTTTGCAGTAGAATGATTTATCCTCGAGGAACTTGGAATGAAATGAGTTTAGTAGGAATAAATTTATGACAAACTAGATACTGCTGAGTGACCATGGCAATGAGAAGAATAAGCATCAGCAATTTCTTGACAAATAATGTATTTGTTTTTGACTGAAAAGGCTCCAATACTATCTATACTGCTTCTTTTGTGAAGACATGATTTACCTCATCTGGCTAAAAAGAACTGAGTCTCAAATATCCAATTGTCCTTCTCACATATAAAATGAAAACACAGTTTGATCTTGAAATTGTGAGTGCCACTATTTACATGGAAAACAGAATACAAAATACAATCACGATACGTGGGGAACAAATGTAAGATACTAGATACCATGATCACTCATTAATTTTTTTTTGCAACTGGGGACATTTCCTGATTAAAATGTCATCAAGTTAGCACCATCAGGTTAAGCTATTCCCTGCCTTTTGGCAAGGGGGGAGGAGGCCAGAGGGAAGTCATGAAAATATTATATTAAATACATTTTTGAAAGTAGGGAACAACTTTATCAAGGTGAACTCAATCTCTGTTAGCTTTAACACAAGGAGAGAGCGTGCCAGTGAAAATACAGATTGCGAGTAGAAGGCTAGGTTATATCTGGGTCTTGGCACACATATACATGGCTGGTCTCCTACCTATCGACTGGGATAAGGTGCAAGACAGAGCTGGCAGTGGAAGGTTTGAAAAGAAGAACCTGTCACATTGTTCGATTTAGATGCAGTGACAATTTTTTATTAGCTGCACTGCGGTTGTGCCAAGGCCCCCGAGGCATGGTTCAGGCTCTCATGGTGCTCAGCACTGCCCCAGCACCAACCAGAAGGTGTGCCCTGCCCCAAAAGCTCATGATCTGAGCACCAGAGAAGGTTGGAGACTGAAGGTCCCTACATGAAATGGGGCAGGTGGAAAACAGAGAAGAGGGCACTTGCCCTCTCGACTCACACAGAGTGCTTTGGGCGTCATGAGCGTGGGGCAGGACAGGCTGTGCGTGCAGCAACGGCTGTCTGAGTGGGATTGGTACTGGCTGCAGGGCTGCCAGCCAGAGGGAGGTTGCATTAGGTGGACTGCTGAATCCCGATCCCAGGTAAGATGGGCAGTGAGGGAGGCTGTCGGGGCTGGAACACGCCATGAAAGGGAATATCATTGCTGGCCTATAAGGAGGCATGGGACCGGGGAAGGCTCTCTGTGAACTGGTGGTTAGCTTGCAGGGCAGTGGATAGGGGACAGCAGTGACCTATGCAAGGAAAGAAGATGGTGTTGAGTAGCCAGGGAGACAGGGTCTACGACCTAAAGGTGGGGGGGAGGCTGAAGAGCAGAGGAAAGATTGGAGCTATCAGCTTAGCTGTGAATCTCCAGTGTTTCTAGTGGTTGGTTTTCAGAATAAAACCAGATGAATTGGTGAGGTTTTATTCACCAAGGCGCCCCCGGGGGTTACAAGAAATAATGGCCACAAGCTAGCAGAGAGCAGATTTAGATTGGACACGCGGAAGAACTTCTTCACAGTTCGAGTGGACAAGGTCTGGAACGGGCTCCCAAGGGAGGTGGTGCTCTCCCCTACCCTGGGGGTCTTCAAGAGGAGGTTAGATGAGTATCTAGCTGGGGTCATCTAGACCCAGCCCTCTTCCCTGCCTATGCAGGGGGTCGGACTCGATGATCTATTGAGGTCCCTTCCGACCCTAACATCTATGAATCTATGAGCCTGATCTGAATGACAGGGCAAATGGTAATGAGCATTTATCTGGAAACGCCCTTCGCTTATGTAAAGATGAGGGACATTGGAGCAGTGGTCAGGAGGTACGCCTGGACCCAGGCATCCTGCCAGAGCATTTAACATCACTGAAGCCACAAGCATACATCACAGGTGGGTTCAGCCTCACAGAAGCTGGAGCTAAACATCTCCAGCTAAGGCAAAGACCGGGCAAGGCTGCTCAAGAAGTTAAACGGTTTCAGTGAAGGAGATTCACAGAGTGTGGTTTTGGTCAGGACTGTGTGTAGTAGATTCCCGGAGCTCAGGTGGAGAAGGGGAGAGAGCACAATGAAACAGAGGCGAGCTTTGGCACAGCCTGCACCAGCACTGCTGCTCTCAAGACAAGTCTAAAGAGTGGGCTTTGGGTCAGGAGCTGTCTGAAAGAGGCTGCGTGTTGGGAGGTTTGGTGACAGACTTGGCAAGCACACAACTCCATTACCAATTTGCCCTCCCAACCTGAACCTCCTCCAGGACCCCAGCTTGCACAAGCCACTCCAGGTGAAGTGAGCAAGACAAGTTTCTGGGACTGGGTTGTGACTTTGCCCTATGTCCACTATGGACTTAGCCACCTCGGAGGCAGAGAAGGAGCTGTGCTGGGACTTTACAGCACAGTGCGTCTCAGGCTGAAGCTACCTGCTCCCCAGCTGCAGCTGTTGTGGGGCCAGAGGATCCCTGCAGATCAGCCAAGCTGTTCAAAACCCATAGCAGGACCCAAGCAAAAGGCTCCTCTCAGACTCATTGCCCTTCCCGCGACACCCAGGGAAGGGGCCATGGAAAAGGGCACAGGATCCAGCAACCTGTTTAGTTCTCTGGAACAGAAGTTCATGAAGTACCTCAGGTGCCTTCCCCTTGGGAAGGGCTGCTCTGCTTGTGCAGTGGTACCGCGCGTTGGGAAATCACCTCAGCGCAGACAGGAATGCAGACACGGCGCTTGTTATTCCCCTCACCCTTTGTGATAGGCATGACCAGGTCCTGCAAAAACCCAAGGGAGACATGAGGCCAGCCTGCTCCCCCTCCCTGCCCAACCTGCTCTGCAGAAGGGCCCAGGGAGAGCTGGCAGCCGCTGTGGACCCAGCTGATGGTCCAGCACTCCCTTCAGGGCCCTTCAGCCTTGTTCCCTCTTTCAACAGCCCCCCCACCCCCTCTCCTGCCCCTCTCACAATGGAACCATTTCATACCAGGGCAGCTGCTTCCCTGCATCACGGAGGGGAATGCGAGTCTGGACGCATGCCTGTCTTCACAGCTGGGTTCAGCTCTGTCGACAAAAACAGGTGCAGCTGCCCCTGCGTGTTAGGGTGGAGGTGGTGTCTGGCTTCCCCTGGCACTCCTGCCCAGCCACAGGAGAGCCCTGCCCCACACCGTCTCCAAAGGGTATTGCTTGCAGCCCAGTATCTGGGCCCAGATACGTTGCAAACATGAACAACCTGCACTACGGACTCCCCCCTGAGTTACCCAGAGAAACGCAGCCTTTCCCTTGCTGTGGTCTGGCCACCAATCACCACATGGGGAAATATCTTGATACCTGGAGTCTGGGGCTGCCCAGTCCTAAGCTCTGTGCTGATTAGATCAGGGCCATTATTCTGTGCGGGAGCTTGCACCTGTTACGCACTGACACCACGACAGGGGCCGGTGGGGGTGACCTCCCTCTGACGCCTGATTTCTTTCAGTGCAAAATGAAAAGGGAGGAGATGGGGCACCTCCTTTCTAGCTCTGTCTTGCTGCTCAGCCCTGACTGACGCTCTCCTTTGAGATGGAGCACGGGATGTCTGTGACTTGGCTGTGATCAGAGTTCACATTCATTTCTTTCCCACTGTCTCAATCTTCCACCTGGCTAGATCAAGAGCTCCAGGTCTATAGCTCCATGGCCACAGCAGGAGAGCATGTTGGAAAGCCATGAATGCCCAGCCGTGTTTTTTCCCAGCTGACCCTGCTCAGCTGGAGCCAAACCAGCAAGGGAAAGAACAGCTCGTGGAAGGCAGAATGTGGTGGCTGCTCACCCCAGGTGTGATTTAAACTGGTGGTTATGCTGGTGTTGGAAATCTCCATGCAGACACTCTTACTCTGGTTTAGAACACACTTTTTGTGGTGCAGCCTCAGCCTTTACAACAGCAGGTTTAAGCTAAACCACAATAAGCTGATATAATTGGGTCCACACCATGGACTGCACTGGTTTAACTGGATTGGTTTAAAATAACACTTAAGTGGAACAGCTGCAGCTTCACTGTGTAGAGAAACCCAAGGGCTGTGCAAAGACTTCTCTGGCCTGTTCCTGGGGATTGCAGGTCGCTTGATAAAGCTGGGTCTTCTCAGCAGATGCTGCATCTGGTTTCTCTTGTCTGGAGGCCCCTGCTCTGACAGTTGCCAGTGGCTGGGACAGGGAGAGCAGAGGAGGAGAATGAACTGTGGGGCACCAGCACCATGTATGTGGGAGAGGTTTGCAGAGTGGGAAAGGGCCAGGCAAAGCTCATGCTCAGGGTTAAGTAGGGAAGAGGTCCCTGGTGACTCTCAGCCAGGACAGAGAGCCCAGGCCTAAGCCTGGGCACCACGTAACTCTGGTGGCCCTCAAGCAGGGCTCTGCCCAGGGGCCTGCCTGTCTGTGAGGAGCCTTTGCCCCTAGCAGCCCATGCACAGGGGACTGTCATGCTCCAGCTTGGCAGCTCCGCTGGACAAATAGCCACGGACACCCCGCGCCACATGCTTTACCCATCTGATAGGTAATGGTGCAAGGGGAGGGGTTGTTCACCAGGCCTTCTCAGTGCCCTCATGTGACATTTGGGCAGGTGCTGCCTCAGTGGCGGGCTCAAACTGCAGATGAACAACAGTGCGTAACACAGCCCTGCCTCTGCCCCAACCCTGCACCCTGAGCTGGGGCTGTTTGAGAGTCACGACCGTGTCTGGAGAAGCGTGGGTGCTGGGGGAGTGTTCCAGCACCTGAGGCCAGCACCACAGATGGCAGCTGGTTCACAGCGAGCCTCCATTCACATTGCTGCTTGCATCCAGCCCAGCTGACAAAGCATGTGGCCCTGCAGCCCTGCCACCTCATTTGCACAACACAGACCAGCCCTCAGGGCTTGGCTGTCAGGCAGCTGCCCTCTGCTCTCAGCGCCATCCCCTCCCATAGAGCTGATCTGCAATCCCATGGCCCAGCAGAGAGCAGAACCAATCCTGCCTGGCATCGCCAGGAAGCCACATCTCTGTACCATACCCCAACATCCCCCACAAGGACAGATTACAAGCCACAAAGAACAGTATCCCCAGTGAGGAAACTGCTTGTTTCCATTATACCCTCCCACTCTGTCCTTGCACACAGCCACTTCAGGGTTGGGGACTCCCAGTACCTACAAACAAAAGTGCTGCCATGGGCACATGTATGGCCCCGCGTATGCCAACATATTTATGGCAGACCTTGCAGTTTGTTTCCTCCGCAGCTGCCCCACATCTCCCTGGTTTACCTCAGATGCACTGATGACATCCTCGTAATGTGGACACATGAGAAGGAATCTCTTAAGAGACTTTAACACTTCCCACCCTCCATCTGGAAGACTCCACAAAGCAGAATGATTTCCTAGATGCCACATCGCCACAACTGCCACAGCTACCTTCATGCCACCAGCTGTCATCGTAAGCTCACCACTAGAATCACCAGCCGCAGCCAAGCTCTGTGTTACAACTGCATCTTCTCTGACCTCATCGACGAGGATGAACACCTTAAGGATCTGGAGCAAGGATCCTACAATACCGTCCCAAAACCGTAGACACTCAAATCAACAAGCCAGACTAAGCCCCACCCTGACCTGCTACAGTACTAACACTGAGACAAGGGCAAGCTACCGAGGCACCAGGCCTCGCAGGGGACCCAAATGCCTGCTGGGCCCCCATGTCAATACAGACCACGTCATCACTGGACCGACTAACAAGGAACACAGCATCCGAGGTTCATTCACCTGCGCCTCTCCCAATGGCCTGTGCACCAGCACCTGCTCAGAGCCCCTCTGCAGTCTGCGGGCCATCTCTGACACAACGCACGGACACGGCTCTGACATCGGCGGCACAAAGACCCACAGGCCTGTGTCCAACTCTCCAACCTCCCTGGACGCTCCAGCACTGACCTCAGGGCAGCTCTTCTCAAGCAGGAACATGTTAAACCCCAATTTGAAGGGGAAATGATGGGACAACAAGTCACCCACAGACTGGACTATGTTAGTGGGGTTTAAACAGTGACTGTGGGCTGTTAAACCTGCATTAGCTCCTGTGACCTTTTGTTCTGATGGTTCTTTGCTTGTTTTCTTCTCCCAGCACTATCCTTTTCCCCCTCTTTTCCCACCTTTTGTATCCAAGTCGCTCACCCCCCTGCACACACTGCTCCGTGCTGCCCTTGCTCAGCATCTGCTGAAGGGAACTCACGTTCACAAAAGCTTGTGCTCTAGAGTATTTTAGACTACAAGGTGCACCTCTGCCCTGCCTTCTGCATGTCTGGGAAGTACCAGCATGACAAGGGTTAATGCTGGCCAGGAAGCCACACAAAGGCCTGCATTGTAAGCACCAGTTGTGCAGCAGCCACTGAAGCACCAGGTTCAGAGAGAAGTGGGAAGTCCCAGGGGCCAATTGTCCTTGCCATGCTATAGGCTGCAGCTTTAGGGGATATCTGAGCTGGACAAAGACCAGCTGCGGCAGACATCAGCCTCCCTGATCCCCTGTGTCAATCCTGTGGAAGCCAATCCCAGAGAAGAGCCCTGATGATGGCTTCCCCCAAGGAGCGCAGTGTGCAGGATGGTGAGGATAGAGGCACCGGGTGCCTTCTGCTCTGAACCAGGGCTATTATGGGTGCAAAATGGTGGGTCCATCTTAAGGACAGAGTTTCTCCCCTGACTGCCACCCTCTCCCAGCTCCTCTTGGAGCTTCTGGGAAATGCCGGACCAGGTTCAGATACTAGCATTGGCACAAGACAACCTGCACGAGCTCCAGGGGTTGTGTCTGAGGCAGCAGGTGCAGAAATGTGGGGCATTCCTTGGGGCAGGGAGGACACCAAGCTATCACTGCACATGGGTCTGGGCCTTTATGATATTCATCAGCTTGGTGCATGCTTGCTTTCTGTAGGTACTGGCTGACCTGACTTCCCCAGCTCCTAGCAGTGACATGAGCCAGCAGCTTTGTCTTTGTCATCAGCCTTGCTTTGCCCACTAGGAAGCTCCTGGCAGATGACTGTATCCTTTCCCTGCTGCATTGCTAGACTGTGATGAGGAAGAAGGCTGAGACCTCACCCTCGCCCCCTCCCCACAAAGTGCTAGCAGCTGCAAATAAAACCATGAACCAAAAGCAGGGCTGGCTCATCCTCTGCTGGCTGCAAGACGCTCTTGTTCTGCCAACAACAGACATGCGCTAAATAGCATCACATGCTCATCCATTGCCCATAAGGAGCTGAGCTGAGACTTCCTGACCAAAGATCCCCTCCTGAGGAAACCCAGAGACTGACTTTGCCTCTGATTTCAGAGGCACGGCTTTTAAAGATGCAATCCCCTCACTTTGGATGCAGGAAGCAACCTAGGACCCAACTGAGATCTACCAGAATGAATGGCTGCAGCCTACCGCATGGGGCGGATAAGCCTGGGACTAGCCTGGCCTTGCAGTGCTCTCGCCTCCCAGCTTTCCCTACGGCATATTATGGGGAACTGGTGCCTTGTAACAGTAGGTGAGAGTCTGAGGTTGCAGTCTAGGGGATCCCCTGGGTTAGTGACTGCCTGTGAGCACAGGTGACTGGGCCCAAGACTTGTCACTTAATTGACGCAAACTGAGAGCTGGCCATGGAAACATTTGAGGAGCCTCTGCTATTCAGCCCTGGGATGTAAATTTTGGACACATTGCACAGGCTTGCTGGCACTCCCCGTGGAAGGCAGGCATCTAAATCTCTCAGGGATCAAGATCCTGGTGTCTCTGGACCTCTGCTCCCCACCTGCACCACAGGGATAACGCTGACCAGAACCCTGGGCTGGGGCCATGGGGAGACATGCAATAAAGAGCGAGGCCTGGGGTACTGCAGTGCTGGCAGCTGGGAAGCATCTGACATGCTTTGCTAAAGGATGCTTGTAATCTGCTTGTGGACCTGAGAAACACCCCTGGCAGCAGCAAGTCTGTGGTAAGCTCCTCACTGGCATAAACCACAGACAGCCACTGAGCCATGGAGACATCTGGGTTGATTTAGACTGGACAAAAAACCCCACCACAACAAAACCAAGAACTCAGCTTTCCCTTTAGAAATCCCTGGAGAAGGGTTAGTAACTTGGCCAGCAGGTGACCAGGGCATTTAAGCCACACAGAGCTACATCCTATCACAGATTGTGGGTGTCCAGGTAGATGAAGCTGCCCGAGTGTGATTCTGTTCCTCCCTGCTCGAGTCCCACAAATCTGTTAACGCGTTGGCTTTTGTAACATGCTCTCATCTGACCTGAAGACTAAAGCCGTGTGGAGAAGCCCCCCTGCCCCTTTGCGTTACCTGTTTTTCAGCTTCTCAAGCAGGGTGGAACAGAATTGCACATAAACACCTACATTCACGTATGCACTTCTGAGGTGGAACAGGATCTGGCTCCTGCAGCCTGCACTTAGGCAAGTGGTCCCAGCTCCTGCATTGAGCAGAGAGCAAGCACCGTAAGGTGATGTCTGCACGCGGTCTCCTTTTCTGAATAAACGATGCAGTCCACCGCTGTGCTGCCTCTACCCGGTCGCGGCAGACACAGAGCTGTGTAGTGCTGAGTTTTCTGCTACCGCTTTGCTTGCTCTTTTCCCAGGGTTAAACATCCCTTTTGGTTAGCTGCCCTCCATTTCCTTCCCATGGGACAGGGAGCTCTTCAGTTTCCTGCCTCTGAATTTCTTAGATTTTTGTCTTGCTTGTGGCGAGTTCAGTGATGAGAGATGGCAGATACAGAAATAACCGTGTAAGTGACATTTGTAATGGCTTTGTACATTTTGTTCTAAATATTTAATTTCCAGGATGAACTGACTGCTAATCTTGCATTTTGGATGGCTGTGTTTAATTTTTCTGTTGTAATAAGACCATCTTTTACAATGGGAGCCTGTTCTATTAAACTAGCCTGGTACTTTGTTGAAATTATATTTTTCCAAAGTAAACTTTGCAACAAAGAGGTGTATTTGCACAGGGTATTTCCAGCTTCTCCAAAAGATGGAATAATAACCTTCCTGTCTGCACATTTCCCATTGCACCACCGTGTCTTTTTGTGTTTGCTTACAGGTCAGAATTTGCTGAATTGTGTATCCTAGTGAAACGCCAACACCCCACTTCTAAATTTAACTTCATTTTTCCCTCTTTCTGCAAACAATTTCTATTCCTTTGGGGAAAACGCCATGTACTCCAGCCGGGGCTGGCTCCCTCCCCCATTTAGCAGCAGGCACTGAGGACCCGGCAGGGGAAAAACCATGACCATGATGGTGGCAGGGGAAGTACTCTGACCGAGGTAATGCAATTAAAATGGCACTGTGTAGTGGAGAGTGCACCTTTGTCTGCTTGCTGACAGGACTCGCTACGAGAGCCTCATAGTTTGCTTCCCACTGGCCAGCTTCCAGTGGGAGGATCTCGGCTACATGCCGACTTCATGGAAATGGGAGACTACTCCCTAGCTTGCTCCTGCAGCCATACAGCTGAGGGCAAGTGAAATGTGGGACCATCTGAACCCCAAGCCTCTGGGCTTGGGCTTGCACGTAGGATGCCTGCCAAAGGATTTGAAAGTATCTGAGGCCCCAGGCTGGGGTGGAGGATACTTGCCAGTAGTAGGGCCACACGTGGTTCTTGAATGATTCAAATGGATTTGGACCTGATCTGGCTAATTTGACCTGGGACACCGAACATTTTCCTTAAAAAAAGCAACCCCCCCACAGAGACTGGTGGCTGAGCCAGGGCCAGGCAGAGGCTGTGTCCCCTAGCCCCGCTCCCCCCAGGCACTGCCCCATGGCCTCTGCTCCTGCCCCTGCCCCTGCCTGCCCTGCTCACCCTGTGCCCGGGCCACCAATCACTGCCCTCTGAGCAGGCAGCCGGGCCATCTGAGCCCGAGCCTGAGCCGTGAGCGGCCGGAGCCACCAGAGGCCTGGCCATGGCCTGTGCGGCCACTGCTCACCTGCCCCACACGAGGCTCCAGGCAGCCACATGCCAGGACCCGCCCTGCCAGTCTGGCCCTGTGAGAACATGCATAAGTCTCCACGCCTGGTCCTGGGGACCCTGCAGCAGCTCCAGGGGGCCAGGAGCACTGTGCAGCCACGGCACCCAGGCAGGGGTTGCGGTCTCCCTGGGGCTGCCGCACACACGAGCACAAGCCAGGGTCGTTGTGCAGCGTTTATTGCCTGCTTACAGTCATGGGTGCGGGCATCATATGGCAGTGCCCCCACCCTGGCCCCGCACAATCTCCCTGGCCCCAGATGAGCTGTGCCCCCCATCCTGCCACTCATGCCTGCTCCCTCCCGCTCCACGCCATGCACGTAGGCAGCCATGGGGCTGTGGGGGCTCCTGGAAAGGAGACTCCGTGGGAAGGCCCAGGGCATCCTGAGCTGCACACAGATCACCGAAACGGGGGCCCAGCCCTGCCCAGGACCCATGCCAGCTGCAAACAGGGCACGGGCCTCCCACCATTAGTCCATGAAGGAGCAGGCTAGGCTATCATCAACCTTGCCACCCAACGGGTGTAGCAGATGGGCTCAGCAGCTTGCCTGGGCTCAGCAGTTGGCCAGAGATGCTGGCCCCCTGCAAGGGGGGAGCTGGGTCAGCACCATGGACCAGCCCACGTGCATGCATAGACCCTGCTCCTGGCTGTGTTCACACTAGTGCGGGATCTGAGCAGCTCTCCTGTGATGCTTGAGCTGGGAGCTGGATGCCAGGGCGTGCGTGCACAAAGCAGCGGGCAGTCGTGTGACCAGTGCAGCAAGTCCTGTCCCCGCAGCAGAACAGGGACAGGGTAAAGGCAGGACACAGGAAGCTGCAGGTTTACCAACAGGCCTTAACCACACAGACCACATGCAGAAATGCACTGGCAGTGTCCCAGGGTCACAGGCTGGCTCAGGCCTCCGGCCATGGCAAGCTCAGAAGTGCCCCCTTTGACTTCCTGTATGTGGCAAGTCCGGGCATCGCACGGTCCCGAGTGGCCACTTATGGAGGCCGCTCCTGGGTACCAGCTTGCAGGGCTGGGATGGGCCCACGTCCTAAGCACACTCTTCTCAGAGGGCTTTGTTTGGGCCAAGAAGCCCAGACGCACCCTCCCATCTGGGAAGACCTGTGCATCAGAGGGGAAACGCACGGCTGGCACTCACTGAGAGACTGGCACCACTGCCGCAGCGAGCAGCAAAGGGGGAAGCCAGCCGCTTCCCTCCCGCTGCTGGGAGGCCAGGGTGGGGCTGTCAGGCCCCAGCAAGGAGTGCTCTAGCCCCATGGGGCTGGGCAGGGATGATCGGCACTAGCTGGATCCCAGGGAGCTGCAAGGCCTCTGATGCAGCTCCTGGGAATTGGAGCCCTTATCTCTTGGGGATGCATGGATGCCAGTGTCCGCTGAGCATCTCCCTTGCACTGAAAGGCAATGCCCAGCCCAGGTGCTGAGCTGACAACACAGCTGGCACATGTTCTGCTTCCCCCTCCCCACATTCCTCAGATGGGCCAGGGGCTGCCTCATCCTCTGCAGAGTGCCTTGCACTGGCCCGCTCTGGGGCCGCATGCTAAGGCAATGCTGAGTCACGGTGGAGGCTGCCAGGAGCCTGCCCACGGGGGATGGCTCATGCCCCATCCCCAGAGCCAGCAGGGAGCTCAAACACACAGCTCGGCTGAGCACAGCTCCATGCCAGCCAGAGGCACCATCAGCATGAGACCCCTCCCATCAGAGAGCCCCGAGGGTAGTCCACGGGCTGTCTGCGCTCAGCCATGATTGTTCAGTCAGTGGCAGCTCACGGACGGAGGGAGGCACGAACCCAGCATCCTCCCCATCTATCCCAGCAGGTCCCAGACTCCTCGCAGCCAATAACACTAGGAGCAGAGCCCGGGGCACGCAACTTTGAGAGCCTTGCAATCCAACTGGCCCTGAGAGCTGGGAAGGGGCTGCTTGTCTGGGTCCAGCTGGTGTGCCAAGAGGGTCACAGCACTAGGCGCGCCCCCCTAGATGCGGACGGTGTTTATGCGGAGTGGCTGCACATTCTTGCCATTGGCATGGCTCTGGCCAGGGCTAAAGTACGAGCAGAGCTTGCCGGGGAACTTCTCCCGGAAAGTGTAGAGCCAGGACATGTCATCGGCATTGTAGAAGATGAGGAGGCCTTTGTCATAGTCCAAGAAGACGCCCACCTTCTCCAGCTTGCTCTTGACATTGAGCCGAGTCCAGGGCTCTGTGCAGGCGCTGTACTGGTTGCCATCATGCATGACAATGCAGTAGAAGCCACGGCTGGGCTGGATCTGGATGCTGCCCTTGCGCGTGACGGCCTCGTGGGCCAGCCCAATCATCCACTGGGTCTTCTCAGAGACGATCACCTCCCAGTAGTGCACGCCACTGCCAAAGGCCTCCGAGCCCAGCACTGAGACCTCTACGTCAAAGCGCTTGGGTGAATCCTGCAGTGGCTGTGGGTGCAAGTTGCCGTAGGCCACGATGGTGCAGTCGTCAGACAGGATGAGGCGCTGGTGAGCCGTGCCGGGATCCAGCGTGAGTGCGGCTGGCACTGTGGAAGCAAGGAGAGACTCAGAGGCAGTGCAGAGCCCGGCTCCACCCAGGCACTGCCACAGACAAACGGGAGGGAAAGCAGCAGGGACTGGGTGCCCCTGAATCAGGGCTGGCAAGCAACCCCTGCCTCATGCAGCCAGTGCTTGGGGCCACCAGTCGGGGCAGCCCAGGGCTGTGTGCTGTTGGGCACCTGCGATAGGGCACTCAGGTTAAGCAGGGAGAAGGAACACTCGTGCCCTTCCCCGAGTTTCAGCCCTGTCCTGCTGGAGGCACCTTCTTGGGGCCCTCACCTGGATGAGTGCAGGGGCAGAAGGGACCTCAAGAGTTACCTGCTTGTGTGATGGGCCTGTGGCCCGGGTGTATCCCATGTCACCCAAGTGATGACTCAGCATTGACATTTCGCTTGGGAGGAGTAAGGATGCCAAGTGCTGGAGTGTTTTTGCCAGGTTGCAGCTCATGTGCCAGGGCCAGGAGACAGTACTTGAACCTCTACTGCATTTCTGCAGGCTAAGGACCTCCTCCCTGCCTGTGGCACGCCCTCCTCCCCCAGGACCCGCCAGCGGGTGGAGGGAGGATGGAGCAGGTGCACACGTTGAGCAGGCCAATTTGTGGGTCGGATAGTTAAGAACCACAGCTGCCAAGCTGCAATGGCCTGCCCTGGGGTCTGCAGTGGGATGCCCACAATGACCTCAGCAGGGACAGTGCTTCCCCTCCTACCTCACAGCACTGGTGCAAGGGGTCTTCATGAGTGCAGGTCTGCGGCTGGGAGAACAGAGGAAAACACAGACATATGAGGGGCTGGGTTTGGGATCCCAGCTGCAGGAGGAGGAAAGCACTGATGTGCAGCTCAAGGGTGGCAAGAGAGGGTCAGGGCAAGATAGGGGCATGACAGTGCACTCCCCACCAGCCCCACCACTCAGGGTTTGACTGATGGGGCCTGCTGCTGAGAGCCCCAGGGAAAGCTACAGTGCAAGCACTGGGCCTGAGCTGACTAGGACATGGGGCCATTCACCCTTTCCTGGGCCCTCCACAGCTTGTAGACAAGCAAAAACACCCTCCCTGCCACTGCTCAGCCTCTTAGCACGTATGCACTCTACAGAGGAGAGGATGAGAGCCTGTCATGGCAGCACAGGTCTCCACGCCCTTTCAGTGCCCCAGCTAAGCTCATCAGAGCTTATGTTTCCCAGCAGTGCTAATTAATGCTGTCGGAAATTCTGCATTCATCAGCTAAATGCCGGTCTCAGGCACTCAGCTGCAGCAAAGGAGCCAGCAAGGACGGTTTCGTCTTTCTCCTTCCTCTCATTTTTGCTGCAAAGCATTTACAAAACAAAACGAAACCCAACCCCAGCTCTTATGTCTGCTCAGGCTGACACATGCCAGAAATGGCCCCATTCACTTGAAATTTCTCAGACAAATTCTCCCTCTGCTTCAGATCCGACCTGGCCAAGCCAAGACCTGGCCTTCAGAGGACAAGAAGGGAAATCTGCTTCCTGCTGCAGCATCCATGGCACCCAACGACCTGTGGGGCCCAGGCGATGGCAGGCCCAGCTCCGTCCAGCCTGTCACAGTGGCTTGTCCTATGGAGGCTGCAGCAACTGCACTGTTTCAGGAACTGCTCTGGAGCCAAGCACAACGGAAGGAGGGTATGGAAAGCTCTTGAGCCTGGGGCCAAGCAGTGGCTGCATCCAGACCAGCAGGCTGCCAAGGGGAGGCATCAGCTGAGGAATGGGGGGCACGGGGCTGAAGGCTCTGAATTACTGACAGCAGAAAGGGCTGGGGAGATCCCGTGCTGCCTGGGGTGTCTCCCTGCGAGGCTGCTCCCCACGATTCTCTGGGAGCAGACTGGCTGATTAATATGCAATTCACTTCAAACCTCACCACATCAGTGGTGAGGAAGCCAGTGGGAAGAAGGCGCTAACTCAAAGCCCGCCTGCCCAGATCCATGCACAACCCTGGATTAACCGTCTCACCCAGCACCCACTGGGCCCTGCCTCCACAAGTCCCTCTTGGCCACGGCCAGGGCCAGTGCTTTGGGACCCCTCCCCCCCCAGAGCCAAGGGTGGGAGCAGGCTGGCAGAGATGGCCTCTGTTAGCTTCTGCTGCATTCTCCCCTCCTTCAGCATGAGGAGCTGGCACCAGGCCTGCCCCCTGGGACACAAAGGGCCTCTGGCTCCAGGAGCAGCAGCAACAGGAGTGGCGGGGGGAAAGGATGAGCACAATTTAAAGGGGCAGAGGGAGCACAGGAGGGGACTCCGCAGCCCAGTCCTCTTGCAGCTGTTGACCTCTCCACCTCTGCACCGCACGAGGAGGGCACCAGAGTGGCAGCACCAGAGCTAAGCCACAGCCCAGCTCCTCACTTTACCCATGTGCCAGGAGCTGCACATGCAGCAGGAGGGAGCATCCCTTCCATTCTGAGCATGCCCTGAGTCCTGGACGCTGCCAGGCAGCCAGCACCTGCATGTAACAGATGCCACGCTGCATCTGCCACGCAGCATTCCCCAGCCTGGCTCACCCCCACGTGCAGGCTGTTAGCTGCAGCACAAGGGGCTCGCATCTCCTCATAGCAAACAGGCCATGCCTAGCAGGCTGCCTCCCTTGCCCAGGTATTTCTCACATGCCTTTCCCGGCGTAGCCTGGTCTTGAGGGATCACAGCCTCCATCATTTCCAAGCAAACCCATGGGTGACTCGACAAGCTACCAAGGGCCCCCATGGCAACGCTGGCTACGGGGCACATTGCTGCCATGGCAGGCAGGAGGCACCTTACCTGGGTGGATGTCCTGGAAGAGCGACTTCCATATTGTGTACTGCAGAGGGCCCATGTACTTGGAGGTAGGAAAGTCTTCGTATGTGAGGTTCGTTTCATGGATCTTCCCCTTAAGCCTGGGAGGAGAGGCAGTCGGGTCAGCGGCAAGCATCTGCCCTGCTTCTACTGCACTGGGGGCTTTGCTAGGGAGGAAGGGGAGAGGGTCAAGGGCTTGGGGGGGCTAGTCTAGTGAGGGGCAGAGCACCAGGCTACAGGCAGTGACACAGCCCAGTCCTTGCTCCTACCGGGGCAGAGGGTCCAGGGCCACAGCCACTAGACCCATGGGGCCGCATGCCCCGAGATGGGACTGCATTCCCTGACACCGCAGCTTTGGCACCAGGCAGACACAGAGAAGAATGTGGCTAGTGGCACCCTGTAGCCACCTGCCCTTGCTGGCCAGAACCCCTCAGCATATCCAGAAGCCTGCCCCGCTGACAAGACAGGCACCGAGACTAGTTTGGGGGGAACCTTGAAAGAGCCCTGCCTGGAACAGGCCCCATGGGCAGGGAGGCTGCACGCACCTCTCGGAGAGTGAGCCGATGCCCGCCAGGAAGGTGTGCTTGTCCACCTCGGCCAGCCACTCCTGCAGGATCTGGCTGCCCTCCTGCACCTTGCGCAGCTGCTGGCTGTAGCGTTGGATCTTCTGCTCTATGTCAGTCAGCGTGCGTGCTGTGTCAGCCTCCAGCTCCTCCAGCATGGCCTTCTGGCGCTCGCGCAACAGCCGGTGCAGCCGCTCAAAGGCCTCCCCAATGGTGACCCGCAGGCTCTTGGCAGAGGACTGAACAGGCAGACAGAGGGAGGGGTCATGCTGGCTGCTTCCTCCTGGGCTGGAGGGCATCTTCACTGCCAGTGAGGTCAGCTCCTGCCCCCAGCTCTGCCAATGCCTCCCAACCCCAGCCCATGGCCTTCCCGCTCCCGAGCACCCCATGCTCAGCTCTGCTGATGGCCTGCACATCAGGAGCAAGGGCCCTGCCACTCCAGCCCTCACCCCTCCCAGGCCCCTCTCCATTACCTCCCCACTTCCCTGCCCTTGTCTCCTCTTTTACGAGCAGTCTCCAAGAGGGGAAGGCATCTGCCGGAAGCTAAAGAACAGCTGGGAACAGGCCTGGGAACCCCTCATCCATCCCTACATAGCTCCCCCAGCCTCCTGCTCCTCTCCTTCCTCCAGACGTAATGCTAAGAATATGGAACAGCACCTTTCCTTGCCATGCGCCATGATGCACCCCTCCACTCCTTCCCATCCTCAGCCTTCCGAAGCAATGTCTTCCTCCCTCCCCCGCCCCTTTGCAATACTTTGTCTGAAGGATGCGGTATAATTACAGTGCTACTGGAAACATGCTAAGGAGATTTCTTTCTTCCACTTGGGCAATATTGAGAGAGATCCAGTTTTCTTGAGATCTAGTCACCCTAAAAATCAGAGCTTGGGTGTTACTGTGAGCTTGTTCCTGCAGCCCCTTCTAAATAATTGTATTTCTCCCGTTTTCCAAAACTAATTCTCT